TTGACAGATTTGAATTCCCTTAGCTAATCTAGCCACCTCTATTCTGAGGAAAAATTTTAAATTTCTCAAATCTTTGATCCTGAATTTATCATTAAGTAGAACTTTGAGGGAATTGATTATCTTCATATTGTTTCCTGCTATTATTATGTTATCAACATAGACAAGAATAAAAGTAAACGAGTCACTTGTTTTCCTTGTAAAAAGACTGTAATCTGCTTTAGATTGATGGAACCCTTGTTCAATAATAAAAATTGATAACTTGGAATACCATTCGAGATGCTTGCTTCAAACCATGTAAACTCTTATTGAGTTTGCAAACCATTGAATCTCCATTGATAGAATAATCAGGATAAACTTGCATATAAACTTCTTCCTGCAAATCTCCATGTAGAAATGCGTTGTTAACGTCAAATTGATGTAAAAACCATCCTCTTACTGCTACGACTGCAATCAGTGTTCTCACAGTTACAAGTTTTTCCATGGGTGAAAATGTTTCATGATAATCTATTTCTTCTAAATGAGTATAGCCTTTCGCCACTAGCATTGCCTTATACCTTTCAATGCTTCCATCAGCGTTAAATTTCACCTTATACACCCATCTACATCCTATAGAAGTCTTTCCAGGTGGCAAATCAGTCACACTCCAAGTCTTGTTCAACTCAAGAGCATTTATTTCATCATTCATGGTTTTGCACCACTTAGGAGACCCGACAGCTTCTTGATAGGTAGTAGGTTCAGGATGTGTGAGTATAGGATGAAGCGAATACTTTATGTTGGTCAGATAATTTGTGATATGAAAGTGTTGCACATAAGGAAAAATGGTTACTTGAAGCCACATTTCCTTTCTTCTTGTTGGAGTCTTGAAAATGAGTGAGAGAGGATGCTTGTTGGCAAATAAAATCCTGTAAATAGGTAGGCATTCTTTTGCTCCTTTCAGATCTTCGAGGGATATGAAGATTATCTAAGAGTTCAGGTGGTGATTCTAATTCAGTATAAGGCTGATTATTATCTGCAGGATCCTCACTTTGGCTAGACTCTTGTGTTAATTCTATTTGCAGCTGGGAGTCAAAATTATCAGGATATTCTAAGTTAATGCTACTTGGTTCAGGATAGGCCAACTGACTAAGAGTAGGCAGGTTGAGATCTGAAGTGCCATCATGTTTTTGAATTTCAGAGTCTTTGTAAGGAAGAATGTTCCCATAGAACATCACATTTCTTGATATAAAAGTTTTGTTGGTTTCTATGTCAAGCAATTTATATCCCTTGGTTTCGAAAAGATATCCTAAGAAAATGCATTTTCTCCCCCTAAAGTCAAATTTATGTCTGTTATGTGCAAGTGTGGTAGAAAAGGGCCAAGCATCCAAACAATTTGAGATTGGAGTAGATAGGCATCGTTTTGAACAAGATTTCGAAAGGTGATTTGTTATTCAGAACAGGTGTAGGAATTCTATTAATTAGGAAGACAGTAGTTAGGACGAAATCATTCCAATATAGCATAGGCAATCAACTTTGAAATTTTAGGGCCCTATCAACATTCAAAATGTGTTGATGCTTTCTTTCAACAACAACGTTCTGCTGGGGAGTTTCAACGCAACTGATTTGATGTATAATCCCATTTTTAGAATAAAATCGTTTCAAGTTGAATTCCCCTCCATTATCTGTTCTAACAATCTTGATCTTGGAATTAAATTGTGTTTCAATTATGGTATAGAAATTTTGTAAGGCAATTGAAGCATCAGATTTTAATTTTAACAAATAGATCTAAGTGCACCTGTTGTGATCATCTACTATAGTGAGAAAATACTTAGATCCATCATAGGCAACATCAATACATGGTCCCCATAGGTCATAATGGATCAGATCAAAGCAATTTTCTGACCTGTAATGACTAGTGTTGAAAGGCTGCCTATAGAGTTTGGCTAAATGGAAAATAGAACAAGACTGTTTGGTATGTCTAGAGCTAGAACTTTGATGTAAGTTGGTCAATTGAAGTCTTGGATCTGAGGGATGGCCTAATCTGAAATGCCATAGGTGATAGTTATCTTGGTTGATGGCAGCTGATACACCGATTTGATAGCTGAATTGTGGCAAGTCTTGAATCAAGCTAATTGGGGGAGGGGGGAACTTATTCTGAACTAAATGGTACAAGCCTTGCCTCAGCTCACCCAGACCAATCGTCCTCCAAGTTGAAAGGTCCTACACGTAATAAAAAACAGAGGAAAATTTAAGGCAGCAGTTGGATGTTTGAGCCAGTTTCCTGGCAGATATGAGATTGAATGAAAACGATGGAACACATAAAGCATCATGAATAAACAAATGATCTGTGACTCTGACATTTCCTACATGAGTCGCAACTGTTAAGTCTCCATTAGGTAGGCCAATGGATTGATTAGTTTCAGACTTAATGTCTATGAGAAATGAAGTTGAGCAAACCATGTGATCTATGGCTCCGGTATCTATGATCCAAGGTACAGATGAAATGACACTAATTTTATAATGGTGAACAGATAACCACATAAATACCAGAAATTTTAGGTACATCTATGTGCTTGGTGGAAGAGTAACTTAGAACATGGCTGGTAGAAGGCGTGTGAGATTGGCTGGTTGGTGGTCTGAGCAAAGATATTAATTGAGTGTATTGCTCCTGAGTTAAAGTAACTTGGTTTTTGTCACTAGCTTACTCCTGTGAAGGCTCTATAGGATCAGTATTTTGATCAACAAAAACAACATTGGCCTGCACTCTTCCATGGAGTTTGTGGCCTGAAGGGTACCCATGAATTTTAAAACAATTGTTAATGGTGTGGCCTGACATTTTGCAATGTGTGCAGACTGGTTTATCCTTGTTAGCTTTGAAACACCTATCAAGTGAGTGGCCAGGAATTTTGCAAAAAGTGCAGTAATATTTCTTCTAAGGCACCAGGCTCCTTTTCTTTGTTTTACCTCAGATTGCCTCTCTTTGTCATAAGTACCATTCCATCGGGTACTGGTGCATCAGTAGAAATCTCCCTTTTCTTTTCCTCTTGCTGCATTATGGAATATACTTCATTCAATTTGGGGAAGGGCTTTATCAGCAGAACTTGAGACTTGAGGCCTTTGTACGAATCATTCAACCCCATGAGGAACTTCATCACCCAGTCCCTCTCTTGGTTGCTAATCATATTCTGTAGTCCCCCACATGTGCAATTAGGAATAGACTCATAGTTCATCAATTCATCCAGTAGTGTCTTCAGCATTGAGAAATAAGTACTCACCGTATCCCGTTTCTGAGTCAGTGTGGTTATTGCTTGCTTAACCTCATAAATTCTGGGCGCATTTTGTTGTGCCAAACGTTGTTCTAATTCCAGCCGTAGTTGATGTGCTGTTTCAGCATATAGTGTACTAGCTTTATTGTCTACCTTCATTGTGTTTTGCAGCCAAGTAATGACCATATTATTACATCGAAGCCAATGTTCCATTAGTGGACTATCAATATCAGTGGGCTCGCACAAACTCCCATCAATGAAGCCAAGCTTGTTTTTGATTCGAAGGCTCTTCTTATGGATCTTGTCCAAGAATGGTAGTTGTCAGAGTCGAGCATCTGTGTTACCAGCAAGGCACCAGAACTCTCGTTTGTACCAATAAAATAGGGGCTGTTGGGAAGAGATGAATTGTGGAAATTTTGATTTTGATTTGAGCTTTGAGGTAGAATTGGGGTTTGATTTGTATCAGTGAAACTTGTGCCATCATTATCAGCCATTTGGCTCTGATACCATATAACAAATCAACTAAGAAAATTGTTAATTAAGAACAAACAAAAACAGAGATTTGGGGAGCAAGAGAGAAACGTTCTCTGTCATATATTTTCATATATTTTGGAATGAGATTACAATGTAAATATATACAAGACTTACAATAACTTTGTATAGGTGGCAATCAAAATCTGTTATGCAATTTAGCACTACAACTGAATTGGAATCTCTTCTAATTTCTTGTTGCAAGTGGTAGCTCCTTTCCATTCTAGCATGTTCTACAATCTTCCAGCCTTTCCTTGCTTATTCTTCAGCTAGTATTTCTCGAAATCTCATAAAAATACGGGAGCACTCAAGAAAATCTCAAGAAAGTATTTCTCAAAATATCATAAAATTACAGCATAAATTTTTAAAGAAACAAACGATTAGTCTATGATACCATTGTAAATAACATGTTTCTAACCGAGCATAAATGTGGGAAACTTGCTTGAAATCCCAAATCGAATAATTAAATCAATTGCCTATATATATTTCATCGATGATGAACACTCCTTTGGGGTCAAAACTCTATCACAAATGAAAAGAACTTGTTGTCCACAATCCAAATGTTAGTCAAAATCATGTCTACAGCCCTATCATATTTGAGTCTTGCTACAAGTACATGATTTCAAAAATCCTGTACTGACCGACACCACACAATGGGGGGTGGGTGGGAGAGTTTTGGCAATATTTCATCTCACATGGGGCCCACCTCCATGTGAGGGGAGTTTTGGCAATATTTTATCTCACATGGGGCCCACCCCATGTGAGATAAAATTCAAATTCCTGTGTAAATTCTGTGATTTTTTTTCTGTACTCAGGTTTATTCATCATATTTTCACTATTTTTTACATACAATTATGCATTATTTCTCTGTCTTGTAAACTTCTAAGCCTCCATGTGTATATAGATGGTATGATTGGATTGTAGGTTGTTATTTTGCAACCATAACCATCCCCACAAATCAACATATGGGTCGGGTCAACCCACGTGAGCGGACTGTCCATTTCCAGCACCTTCTATCTCCAAGAGTTTTCAGTTTTCACTTCAAGCCAAATGTAATAATAACAATTTAAAAGTCGCTCTATGGAGATTGTTCGGCTTCACACATAACTTATGATTTTAAAACTGTTGTTATATAAATATTATTAAATATATAGTTACAATAAATACTAATACAGCAAGCCAGATATTCGTAAACTAATTTAGACTCAAAAGAAAAACTATATATATTTAGAGACGAGACAGGGCAAGAATCTGCTCTTGAGGTTGATGGTTATATCTAGGTTGTTCACGATTGACTTGAGTTGACTTCTTGATAGATTGATTTCCATTTTCCAGTATGACAAAAGTCTTGGCCAAAGCCCTCAATTGAAATTTCTGAATTTTTCCGGTAGAAGTCTTTGGCAACTCCTCCATGAAATGAACTTTCTTTGGCACCATAAAATGTGGCAAATTATTCCGGCAGTGTTGTATAATGTCGACCTCCTTCACGGTGCGGGGGTCGTCCTTGGAGTTCTTTGTCAAGGTTACAAATGCACAAGGACTCTCCCCCCACTTGGGATGAGGCATGGCAACGACCGAGGCCTCTAGCACGCTAGGGTGTTTGTAAAGTACTGCCTCGACTTCTACGCTACTTATATTCTCCCCGCCTGAAATAATAACGTCTTTAGACCTATCTTTAATTTCACAGTACCCGTCGGGATGGATCACCCCGACATCACCTGTGCTGAACCATCCATTGAGAAAGGCTTTTGAGGTTGCTTTTTCATCCTTCAGGTATCCCTTCATGATGCTACTTCCCCGGAGGACAATTTCACCTATTGTTTTACCATCTCTTGGCACACTTTGCATTGTTTTTAGGTCCTTCACATCAGCATCCGCAAGTGTCAGTACACTAATTCCTTGCCTTGCTTTGAGCTTGGACTGTGCCTCCCTCGGCAACTCATTCCACTCCCTCTTCCACTCGCAAACCATTGCAGGTCCAGTGGCTTCGGTTAGGCCATAGGCATGCACGACATGAAAACCAAGTTTTTCAATTTTCTCGAGAAGGGATGCCGGTGGGGGAGCACCACCAGTGAGTATTTCGACTGGGGAGGTTATTTGGCGTCGTTCATGCATCTTGGATTCAAGGAGGATGTTGAATACGATAGGTGCACAACACATGTGTGTAACTTTGTGTAAAGCTATATTTTTGTACATTTCTTCGGCTGTCGTGTTGCGTATGCACACGTTGGTCCCTCCCCGGGCCGCAACACCCCAGGTGAATGTCCATCCATTGCAGTGGAACATAGGAAGTGACCATAAATAGACAGGTTCACTCTTCATTTCCCAACCTAAAATTAGGCTCAAAGTGCTTAAATAAGCCCCCCTGTGGCTGTACACAACTCCTTTAGGCTCTGATGTCGTGCCGGATGTATAATTCAATGCAATTGGATCCCATTCATCACTAATCTCTTCAGGAACATAACTTGGATTTCCTTGAAAGATTAATTGCTCGTACTCAAGTTCGCCTAGACGAACACCGGTTGGGGAGCCAATATCATCAATGACAGCAACCAATGGCATTGAAATATCAGACTTTTGCAAGTCAGCCATCAAAATACGTAAAGCATCACGTGCAAGAGGCACGTACTCGTAATCAATAAAGAAAACCTTTGCTTCGGAATGCCTGAGAATTGTAGCAATGTTTTTAGCATCTAGCCTTGTGTTGATAGCATTTAGCACAGCCCCGGCCATTGGTACAGCAAAGTGCATTTCATAAAGTGCTGGTATATTTGGTGCCAACACAGACACCTATATTAAAAAAAACAAATGGAACAATTATTTTACAGCAATAATAGGAAGAGCAATGCTATTCATGGTGAAGACTATCGGTAATCGTTCTACGTGACAGTTTATTATTTGATACTTTATTGCCTTATGCATCAAATAATGTGTACGACACGTAGGGCAATTATCAATAATTTTCACTCTAAATAACATTATTCTAATAAGAATATAAGCAAAAAAGGCAACACAACATGAAAAGTAGATAACAGTGTGTTTTGCATGTATATGCATTAAATACTTACCACGTTATTCTTGACAACATTGAGCGATCGGAGAGTAGAAGCAAGGCGGCAACACCTCTCATAAGTTTGCTGCCATGTGAACCGGACGCCACCATAAATTATAGAGGTACGGGCAGAGTAAACCATGGAGGCTCTCTTCAAGAAGGTGAGTGGAGTAAGAGGTACATAATTGGCTTCACATTTTGGGAGTCTATCCATTGCTGAAATTTGTGTTTAAATGTTTAAAGAAAATATGGGTGTGGAAAAGTGAACAGATTGTGTGTTTACAGGTAAAGGAATAAGAGAATGACCGCAGATTTATACACAAAATTGTGAGCAAACGACAATAAAGCGTGATACAGGTTGGCTGGAAGTTGAAAGGGAAGTTTCTATGGTTTTTATCAAGCAACTATAGAGTTTGAACAAAAAATTTGACTTGAATTATTGTATTACATAATACATGAATTTCACATTATGTGGGGCTGCTTGACTTCTGCTCATTTTTTAAAGTCACCTCATTATATTTTCTTTTTAGGCTTCCTAGAATCTCTGCATAATATGCTTTAATCCATCTGTCTAAAAGAAATACTTCAATCCAAAAACAAGGTTGTCAAAGAGTAAAAATAGAATAAGGTTGTTAAGGAGTTTTAATTCTTACAATAGTGGACTTGTTTCTGTCTTTTGTTGAATCTTTTTCATGGATCGATAGATAATTTGATAAGTCGAGGTGTATCTTTTTTATCAGAGGTTGAATCGATCATCAGAACAAGAATGGGTATTAATTAAGTTTATTCTCCATCATATTCCATTGCATTCTTCATTAAAAATTACATGTATTTAAAATATTTTCATTTATTTTTTGTTGTGGCCTGACTAGACTTCTATATCTCGTCATAAATATTGGTAGTCATTATACCTAAATCGACATATCTAGAGAATTCAATTTATTGACTATCCTAGGAACTAAAAGATAAGGTGCCACTCGAGGAGAGCCTTACATTAGTTACGTAA